TGTTATTATTGTTTTTTTTTTAATGTTGTTTGTGATCTGTCATTTTCACAACCCTGTACTATTCTATGGAGTTGCTATTGTGTAATTTACTTAGTCATTCCACCATGGTTGGACTCCAGGCTTTCTCACTCTGAAGCTTCCGATGTATGTTGTTGAAGGCCCTCCCCGGCCTGTGCCATTTCACAGTAACATGGGCTAACTTTTGACCTGGCTGTGTCAGTTCTAAATCTTCTAACTCTGTTTTAAAAGGGAACGGAGGGTTGTGTGAAATGTTCCTTAAGAAATCAGAGAAATAGCAGTGATTCAATCCATTAGGCAATCAATCAGAAAAGCATTTCAAATTTGCACTAGAAATTGTATATGGAGAAGTACAAAGTTATGGTGTAACTAAGACAAGAAACAGTAATAGTGATAAGGGGAAAAAACCCCTCTAGTCTACAAAAGAACCTATGCTACAAATTTTGAAACAGGCAGTACAAGTATGCAAGTTGCTATATTGCATTACATACAAGTTGCTAGTAAGCAGGATAGGATTTACTAGTATATAGAGAAAGGACTTCTTGCTCCTTTTCCTGCCTTAAAAATTAGGACCAACTCTGAATAAAAGCTGTAACACAGGTGAGGTTTGTGTTGGCAGACCGTTCTCTGCTAAAGGGACCTTGAATCGTGGGCTGTCTACTAACTGCCTCATGTCCTCCCAAGAGCCACTTAATGACACGTGATACAGGCTGGAGACCATCAGAATCTTCCCCCAGATTGATTTAAGGGTGTTGATAGAGAAAATATTCATTCTCCTGGGACCCTGAAGTGAAAATCTGAAGTTGTAGTTGCTGGTGACCACCTGGTTGAATGGAGGCAACTTTGGACAGTAGGCCCAGAACCACAGACATAGATGCTTCTTTCTAAACAAGGCCTATTTCTTCACCTGTGCCCTGGCTGGCATTCCCTCCTGAAGTCTCAGAACTGTCTGACCGCTCTCCACTCTTGTATTGCTCACCCATACTACACTGGCCTCCACCTAGTGATTCCACCCTTCTCCCCAGTCCAGCCAAATCTCTTTTAAGAAAACAACAACAACAACAACAACATTTAATCACCTTTATTTATTTATTTTTTGTTTGTTTTGTTAATCCTCACCCGAGGATATTTTTCCTTTGATTTTTAGAGAGAATGGAAGAGAGAGGGAAAGACAGAAACATCCATATGAGAGAAACATATCAATTGATTGCCTCTTGCAGGAGCCCTGACCAGGACCGGAGCTGGGGAGGAGCCTGCAACCAAGGTACATGCTTTTGACTGGAATCAAACCCGGAACCCTTTGGTCCGCAGACTGATGCTCTATCCACTGAGCCAAACCAGCTAGGGCACCAAATCTCTTGAAAGATTGTCTACTCTCTCCACTTTTTTTTTTTTTTTTTTTATCCTAACCTACTCCAAATGGGCTTCATCCCCCACTCCTCTACTAAAAAACAGCTCAAAGATGACTAAGGACCTGTCCATTGCCATCTCCATATGGCCTTCTTTAATCCTTGTTTCCTTACTCTCTCAGCATCTTTTGACCTAACTGACCAATTCCTTCACGCTTGGTTGGTTTCCAGAGAACCTGGACACCACATCCTCCTGGTTTTTCTCCCAACACCCTGGCTGCTCCCTCTCAATTTCCTTGCCCATGTCTCCTCCATCTGTAAATGTCAGACTTCCTGCAGAGCTCTTCCCGAGGCCCCTTCTCTCACCCTACACTCTCTCCCTGTCTTTTCCTGTTACAGAGGTCTCGCCCACTGTTCTAGCTCCCACTGCTGTCTACATACTGATGGCTCCTCAGTGTGTATCTTTAACTCAGAACACACCTCCGAGCTTTATAGCCACACAGTCACTGGCCTGCTTCTGATGGCCACTTAAATGCATCACAGATATTCAACCTTGACATGTTTGTTTGGAAGTGAACGCTTGCTTCATCTCCCTCCACAAACCTGCCCTTCCTCCAGTTTCCTAATTACTAATGGCTCCCCAATCCACACAGTTTCTCAAGCTGGATTCCTGCAAGTCTTCCTCGATGCTTCCCTCTTCCTCATTCCCTCTGTACAGTCCTTCACCAGGGCCTGTCAATTCTATGAACATTTCTTACATCCACCTAAGCCCCAGTTCCATTTCTGTCCTCTGCACTTTGGCAACAGCCTCCTAACTGGTCTTCCCACCCCCATGCTTGCTCCTTCCAATCCATTTTTCACACGGCCCTAGAGAGAGATTTATGTTGTTTTTTTTAAAATATATTTTATTGATTTTTTACAGAGAGCACTATCGGGGATGTGCCCGCAACCAATGTACATGCCCTTGACTGGAATCGAACCTGGGACCTTTTAGTCCACAGACTGATGCTCTACCATTGAGCCAAACCGGTTTCGGTACCTAGAGAGAGGTTTAAAATACAAACCTAGTCCTGTCCTGGCCCTGCCTAACAGCCTTCACAGGCTTTCCGTTGCCCACGGTGAATGTCCGAAGACTTCCCATGACTTACCAGGGTGGTCAGTCTTGGACGCTGACCCACCTCTTCAGGCTTGTATCAACCACGCTCCCCTTACCTTTCCAGGCTCCAGCCACATGAAGTCCTCCCTGCCCTCCAAACAGGCCAAACTGTCCCTTTCCGCAGGACTCCTGGATAAGCTGAGCCTTCTGTGCTTCCCTGAGCACCCCCTCCAGGTCCCACTGTCCCATCACACCAGAGTCTTTTCCTTCTCTGCCCCCCCACCTGTGTCATCTGCTTGTTGTTTCTCCTCCCTGTGGGACTGTAAGCCTCAGGAGCGCAGGTGCCAGGACTGTCCTGCTCCCTGCTCTGTCACCACTGCCCGCCTGCGCCTGGTGCTGATGGGCAAAGATGGTCCATGTCCTTCACATCCCAACCCAGGGCAGCGGTGCAGCTGTCCACCACTTGGGGACAGTCTTCTTTCAGTGGTTCTTAAAGCTACAGCCTTGCTCTTTGGTGGAGACATTGACCCAAGTAGACTCCTTGACCTCTTCCCCTGGAGCACAGAGCCACCCAGGAGCTCCTGGATGCTGGGGAGCTTGCTTTACAAACCCTGCCTAAAGCTAGGGTGTCATTAGGGTGATGCACTGCAGCCCTGCCCTGTTCGCTTAAGGATGTCTTGGTGTTTTAAGACAGGCCTTCCCCCAACCAGCCCATTGTTCTTGTTTTCTTCCTACAGTGCATCTCTGTTCACTGGCTTCAAATTGTGAGAACCCCCTAGGTTGGAGAGCCCCAACAAGGTACCGGGAAAAGGGTGCTAGAAAACAATCAGCACCCAAGGGAACCTGAATAACCAGACAGAATTATTTTAGCATCTGAACAATGGCCTAGGCCAGGGTGGGCAAACTGCAACTCCCGAGCCACATGCAGCTCTTTGGCCCCTTGAGTTTTTAGCAAAGGCCAGCTTAGGAGTACCCTAATTAAGTTCATAGCAATGTACCTACCTATATAGTTTAAGTTTAAAAAATGTGGCTCTCAAAAGAAATTTCAATCCTTGTACTGTTGATATTTGGCCCTGTTGACTAATTAGTCTGCCGACCACTGGTCTAGCCTCCGGGAGAGACTCATCGGTGTGTGTGGCTGGTCCTCAGGGAGAAAGATCTGTCCTAGAGGAAAGGAGACAGAAACTGCTGGTGCCACGAGTGGGGAGAAGCACTCCGACTCGAAAACACTGCAGCAACCCGGGGTCTTTGAAGAGGCCCCTGCTTTGGTGCCCCATGCCAAGGACCAGAGATGGCGCGTGTGGGCACGCCTTCTGCCGTTGCCACGCAGGGCCCGGTGGACAGAAACCACCGGCCAAGGAAGAGCCTCATTACATCTCGGCCATGGTTGTCTTCAGAACCAACCTTTCCTGCTCTTTGTGCAACAAGACACACCTCTCGAGGGAGGAAGGAGGCGGACAGGATTTCCATCCTTGCTACTGCCCTATTTAAAAAAAAAAAAAAAAAAACACCGTGTAATTACCCTCTGCAGGAAAGGCGCACAAACAGGATGGGCCCCGAGTTGAACCAGGATGAGCCATCCCCGTAAAGATTAGGAAAAGGAACCTCTCCGCCGCCGGATGCCCTCCTCCAGCCGGGGCCTCTCCCAGAGGGCCAGGCAGAGTCACCAGCCCACCTTGCAGGGCGGGAGGGAGGGAGGGCGCGGGAGACCTCGCCGCCGCCCGGGTTCCCCGGTTCCTCCTCCAGCACCGCCTCCTCCTCCTCCTCCCTCCCCGCCTTCCAGCGTGTCTCCCGCGCCTCAGGTGTTCCCTGGCTGAGGCTACAGCTCTTCCCGGTTCGGCCTGGACCTGGGTGGCCTCCAGCCGGCTCGCACCCGGGACTCCGCGCGGCGGGGAGCGCGCAGACTGGCCGGGGCTCCCCGCGGAGCGCGCCCGGGCCCCGGGGCCCGCTGCCGGCCGGCGGGGCGCCACGCCCCCGGAGGGGAAAGGCGCGGAGCCGCGAGTTTCGGTGAACTTGGAGCCCGCACCAGTCGGGGATGCGGCGGCCGCGGCGGCTGCTTCCTGGTCTGAAGCTCGCCGAGTGGGGGAGAGCGTGAGCCCGCGGAGGCGGGGGCAGGAGCGGAGCTCCAGGAGGCGGGGGAGGAGGCGCCGGGGCTGGAGCTCGCCGGACGGGTCGCTCTGGCTCTCCGCGGAGAGGAGCCTCCCGGCTCCGGAGAAGGGGCGAGCCCCGCGCGAGACCCCGGGCGGCGCCGCGCGCTCGAGGCGGACGCTCGGACCCCCCCGGCCCGCGGCGGGCTCGGCGCCGGGCTCCCCTCCTTTCCAGCCCGCGAGGCGGAGAGGCCGGGAGGGAGGGGAGAGGAGGGTCCCGCGGGGAAAAAGACGACGGAATGGCCCGGCGGCGAGGGGGACCCGGGCGCTGCGCTCCCCAGGACCTGCCGCCGCTCCTACCGCTGCCGCGAGGACTGGCCTGAGCCGGGGCCCCAGGCTTCCCCGTCGCTAGCCAGGGCGGCCCCCCGGGGCCCGGGCGGCGGCGCCGGCATGTCGTCCGACACCATGAAGTTCAATGGCTACCTGAGGGTCCGCATCGGCGAGGCCGTGGGGCTGCAGCCCACCCGCTGGTCCCTGCGCCACTCGCTCTTCAAGAAGGGCCACCAGCTGCTGGACCCCTACCTGACCGTGAGCGTGGACCAGGTGCGCGTGGGCCAGACCAGCACCAAGCAGAAGACCAACAAGCCCACGTACAACGAGGAGTTCTGCGCCAACGTCACGGACGGCGGCCACCTGGAGCTGGCCGTCTTCCATGAGACGCCGCTGGGCTACGACCACTTCGTGGCCAACTGCACCCTGCAGTTCCACGAGCTGCTGCGCACCGCCGGCGCCTCGGACACCTTCGAGGGCTGGGTGAGTGGCTTGGGGCGTCCACTGCACCTCCTCAACCCCCCTCCGCTTGTCAGAACTCGCGGGGGTCCCACTTTCCCATCCTTCTCCCGCCCCCTCCCCGCCCCCAGCTCCGCGGAGGTGGGAATTCCCTCCAGACTTTGGTCCGTGCCCAGCTGGTGACGCGACCGCGGTGGGTGTGTGCGGGCGCAGGTGTGTCTCCGGGAAGCGGGTGTCGCTGCGGTCCCCTTTCCGGATGGCAGCTTGGGCTAACGGGATGGCAGGGCGGGCGAGGGGAGAGGGGAGGGGGGGAGAACCCACCATCTATCCAGACTTATGGGGAGGCGCCCCAACTCCCCGCACGCGGTTCACACGCAGGAAAGGAAAGTGTGATAGGAAAGGGACTTGATTTGGGTAAAGGACTTAGTACTGGAAGCGTTTCTTAGAAGAAAGCCATGCATTCTCGCAGGTATTATTCATAGTGTTTATGGATACGTGTTGGCTCAGCGGCTCTGCCGTGCACACGTGTTCCAGCATGCAGATCCATTAGATCCCAGAGGTGCATAACCCACGCTGGCGGGGATCGGAGTGCCTGGGTCTGCACTTGGGCAAAGTTTTATTGTTGAGCAGTTTTCCAAGGCGATGAGGTTCACAGGTGTTCGCAAGGAACGTCACTAGTTCAGTCTCGATCTGAAAGGTGTGAGTCCTGCAAGGTGCATGTCTGCTGTTGGGGAGAGAGCAGCGGGGAGCTCTCTGGAGTTTGGGGAGCCCGCCACACCTGCTGGCACTTCTGCGTATTGACCAGCAGCTCCCCGCAGCTCCCACTTGCCTCAGCTTTTCACACAGTTTCCGTGAGGCAGCGCGTGTGCTGTAAATAAACTAAGTTTTCTAGAGCACTCTCCACAGTGCTCAGACGCTTGTGCTTATTAAGCCTCCTGCCGTCTTTGTGGTGCAGTTGTTATCCTTCCCGCTTTTGCATGATGAGGTGATAATTATAATGAAGTGGTCTCATTGAGCAGAATGGAGTGAGCTGTGTGAAGACTCTCAGGGATCTAATGGTTTAAGTTATGGAGGACGCCGATGTTGAACCCAGAATGGGAAGCAGTATTGAAAATCCATTTGAAATTAACAAGTGGTGGAATCAGATGAGTGATAATGAAGACTATTTAGATATTTCTTTTACACTTTAAGGAACTGATCGTTTTGTGGTAGATTCCCTAAAATTACGAGTGGCTTGTGGAGCTATCCCTTTCTTTTAAATAGATGTAAAACAAAACAATATAAAAAACACCCCTAATGACTGTTTAACCTTATCATCAAATTATATTGAGTTCATTTTCCTTCAGTCAACTTTATATGGAGTTTAAAAGGGCCCTAGAGAGGAATGGCTAAAATACAGCCAGAGATTGACATTTTATCCTGTGAGTTTCTGGATAGGGATCCGTATGGAAGTACTGAGTGGCTGATGAGTTAGTTGGGTGGAGCTCTGACTAGAGGAGGTAGGTTGTGAAGGATGGTGGTACAGACTGGCAATGGCTCATAGAGGCATGTCTTCCAGAGGGAAGTAGACTGGTCCTTCTTACTCTCAGTCTGCACATTTCCATCCCTTGGGGAGCTTTTAAGTACTCTAGATAAGCACCTCTGCCCGTGGGACCCCAGCGTCGGTACTGTTACACGTCCCCGGTAATTCGAATTTGCAGCTGAGGCTGAGAACCCGTGGCCTAAATGTAGATCAAAAGAAGAGAGTCAGAAGGAGCAGCAAATGCAGGAAGCTTAGGTTACCTGACCCGGTGTAGGTGTGCAGAGCTGCTTACTGGCCCACTGGATGAACAAAGATTTAAATATCAATTAACTATCTATATCTACAATTAATTATATTTCGATGTTTAATATAACCCCCTGGTGGTGTTTTGGAAAACATGAGTGTTCGGTAGGGTAGGCCAGCATTTAAATGACCTTGAAACAAGTTATTTGTCATGCATTTATTTATTTATTTATTTATTTAAAGTTCTGGGTATTTTGAACCAACTTTGATGATAGCATAAGTAGAATCGTTAGAGTGTTTCCTTTTTTTTCATATTTTTAAAGGAAAATAATCTTAGGAAAGTGTTTGGCAACATGAATGCTTTTAAAGATTCTTTATATAAAGTTCTAAAGATGGTTTTGAAGTTTAGAATTGCAAAAATACTTATTTATCTTTACTATATTAAATAGAAATGTGTAGTTTTTTGGACAGTTAAAAATGGAATAATCAAATTTACCTAACAATGAAGTTATGTTGCGATTGGAATTATAAATTGTTACTCTAAAAAAACCTAGCAACTTTGCTTTTGCTCGAGTATGTGAACAGATGAAAACAGAAGAAACCTTTATCGTTAGCATAAAAGAAGAGTTGTTATGCTTTCTGACTTAATGTGTACTTTCTGAGTATCAAGAAGGTAATTTAAATTGATTTTAGTATCAGTTTTGTCGATATTACCTTCTAAGCTTGATGAGAAAATGGGTTATACCTGTTTTATTCCGTATATTCTTAATACCAAACACAGTGCCTGACAGTCTTTACAAATCTAGATAAAGCTTAAGGAGAGAACGATATAGCTAAAGAAGTTCTTAAGCAGAAATTCACAGTAGTAAACACTTTAATTAGAAAGGTTCTCAAAAGACCTAAGTTTCCACCTAAAACTAGAAAAGAAGAGCAAATTGAACCCAAAGTAAACAGAAAGAAGGAAATTATAAAGATAGCAGAAGTCAGTGACGTAGAAAGCAGAAACAATAGAGAAAATCAATGAAACGAAAAGCTGGTTCTTTGAAAAAATTAATACAGTTGATGAACGTCAAGCAGAATGATCAAGAGAAAAGAAAAAAGAGAGAATACAAATTGCCAATATTAGGCATGAGAGAACATCACTATAAACCACACAGACATTAAAAAAATATTTTGAACAATTTTTGGCCAGTAAATGCCGTAATTTAGAGGAAATGAACAAATTCCTTAAAAGATACAAACTACCCAAACTCACTCAAATAACTTGACTTTGTCTATTAAGGTAATTGAATTTATAGTTGAAAACCTTCCAATTTGTAGTTGAAAACCTACAATGCAAATTTAAGGTCCTCGTAGACTTTATTGGTGAATTCTACCATATGTTTAAGGAAGAAATGTTGCCAACTTGACACAAACTATTTCAGAAAACAGAAGGAAACACACCCCAACTCATTCCATGGAGCCAACGTTATCCTTATACCAAAACCTGATTAAAATATTTAAAACAAACAAACACTACAGACCAGTGTCTTTTGTGGACATAGATATAAAAATTCTTAAATCTTAGCAAATCCAACTCAACAGTATAGCAAATGGGTAGTACACCATGACCTAATCGGGTTTATAACTAGGACAGCAACGTTGATTTATATATAAAAGTCAATTCATGCAATTCTTTATATTAACAGGATAAAAAGATTTATATGATCTTCTGTATAGATCATATTTAAAATGATCTATTAAAAATCAATGAATTGGACTTTATCAAAATTAAGAAGCACTGATTTTCAAAAGCCACTTAGAAAATGAAAGCACAAGCCATAGACTGGGAGAAAATATTTACAACATGTTAATCAGATAAGGAGTTGTAACATCAGTATATAGAAGAACTCTTACAACTCAATAATAATGAGAAAAATACCCAATTATACAAAGATTTGAATAGGACCATCACTGACAAATAGTACATTAAAAGATACTCAAAATCATTAGTTGTCAAGGAAATGCAAATTAAAACCAAAACCCATTGTAAAGGCTAAAATTAAAAAGACCTGCCATCAAAGTGTTGGTGAGGGAGTGGAGCAACTGGAACTTTCATATCCACTGTGAGAAATAGAAAATGGTACAGTCATGTTGAAAAAACGGTTTGGCAGTTTCTTAAAATGTTACACATACATCTACCATATAACCTAGCTACTCTTAAGTATTTACCAAGAGAAATGAAAGTATTTATATAAAGACACGCACATGAATGTTTATAGCAGCTTTATTTATAGGAGCTCCCAAACTGGGAACAACTCAAATATCAGTGAACAGTTGAATGTTTTTGCACAAATCGTGCATAACATAGTAGGAACATAAAACAAAAAATACTAATTATTAATAGTAAAAAGTGAACTATTGATATCTGCAGCAATACTGATGAATCTCAAAATAATTATACTGAGTGAAAGAAGCCAGACAAAAAGGAGTACACACTGTATTTATGCAAAATCCCAGGAAATGAAAACTAGTGTGTAGCGGCAGGAAGCACATTGAAGGTTGTCTGGGAATGGGAGGATGGAGGTGAGGGTCTGCTGGATTACAAAGGAGGCATAAGGAAACTTCTGAGGAAATGGAAGCAGCCATTGTTTTGATTGTGGAGATCATTTCACAGTTATATACGTATGTCCAAGCTCATCAAATACGCTCCCTTTTAAGAATGTGCATGTAATTGTATGCCAATTATACCTCAAAGCTGTGGAGGAAAACTATGTATAATTATTATTCCTCTTTTATGAAAAAGATGTTAAATAAGTAAATGAATTAGATTTAAGCCAAGGTCGACTTAAAAATTGCATTGTCTTTTTAGTGCAGAAAATAATTTTCAGAGTAGGAGCATAAAACAAAAAAAACAAATTCATTAAAGACCATTCTTGTTTTTGGACAGAATGTTGTTTTCTAAGTGATCCCTGTCAATTTTTTTTGTTTGTTTATTCTGGAACATGTTTATTTTGCATAATTTCTTTATGTTCTGAAACCCAAAGTTGTGTCTCAATTAAAACCTTATTTCTGTCTTTCATATATTTGCTCACGATTTGCTGGCTTTCCAAATGGGGACCGGCATCTAATACTTAATGCAGAGCATGGGGATGGGGGGGGTGGAGGCAGGAGGAGCTGGAGGCTGCGTCATGGAAAGACCTTGGCATCCCCGCAGGAAGGAAGGACCTGCTTGGCGGGATCCCAGGCCCTTTTCCTGGTTCAGCCCTCTTGAAGACAT